GCGTGGGTGGAAGGCGATGAAAAGGCTCGCGCAACGATTCTGCTACTGCTGGAGGAAAATCAGTTTGGCGTGATTCGTGCGGCGAAGACGGCGTTGGCCATGCATCATCAAAAGGCAGCGTTGTCCACTAGGGTTTCGTTACTACAACGGATGTGCGAAACCCGGATACACGGAAGGTGAGGATATGGACGATTACCTCACAAAGATGGAAGACCTGTACACGAAGCTGTGCAGCGCAGGAAAGGACCTGGGAGAGGATACCATGGTGGCCTTTATCTTGCGAGGATTGCCGAAATCATTCAACGCATTGACGACTGCCCTCGAAATACGTACGGATGATGCCTTGACGCTGAACCTGATCCGGGAGAAGCTACTGGCCAAGGTAAGGAAGCAAAATCGTAACGCAACCGCAGGGACGACATTGAAAGCGGCGGGACGAAAGCCGATTGTGTGTCATTTCTCCAAGAAGCCTGGCCACAAACAACGGGACTGCAAGCAGCTACAGAGAGAAAGCAAGCTCGAGAGCAATTCGGATCGAAGAAACAGAATGCGAAGACCGCTCGGGATGGTGGCTACAGCAACATGTACGCACTGACCATCGGAACTGGCGACACGGCGAACGACTGGATCATCGATTCCGGTGCAAGTTCGCACATGACTTCCAACAGGGATTTCTTCGAGGAGTTAGAACCGGCTACAGGCGAAGTGGAGTTGGCTGACGGGCGTGTAGTAGCGGTCGCTGGTACTGTAACTGGTGTGATCGAATGTGTGGACGGTTCTGGAAGCACGAATAAAATTCTTCTCAACCACGTTTTGTTTGTGCCAAAGCTGTCGGCAAGTCTTTTGTCAGTGTTTACTATGACCACTCGAAAGGCGAAGGTTGAATTCGATGACGATGAAGTGCAACACCATCGTCGATGGGAAGGAAATTGCATCTGCGAGTGCAGAGGATTATACCGGCTGAATAAGCAAGAACAAGCAGTCGCCGCGAGGGTAACTGCATCTCACAAGCGAGATTGTCAGCACACCTGGCACCGACGGTTTGGACACTGGGAAGCTGATGCGTTGGATGTTCTGCTGAAAAAGAAGCTTGTTACCGGTATGAAAGTTGAAGATTGCGGAATACGTGAAGGTTGCAAATGCTGTGTGAAAGGAAAGCAGGCTCGAACTCCCTACCCCAAGACTCCCGAGAAGAAGACCTCCGCACCATTAGACCTCATCCACTCGGACGTTTATGGACTTGAGTGGATATCGTTATTTTGTATCTTTAGTAGACTGTACGGTTTTCTTTATCAAGCACAAATCCGAGGTCGCAGAACGCATAGTGGAATACTGAAATTATGTCCACACGCAGTTCGGGAAGTACCCCAAGCGCATCAGGTTTGATCGGGGAGGGGAGTATTCGAACGAAGTACTGCTGGAGTTCTACCGCAAGCATGGAATCCACTCCGAGTTTACTGCCGGAAATTCGCCACAGCAGAACGGAGTGGCGGAGAGACGAAATCGATACATCATTGAAATGTGCCGGTGCATGCTAATGGACGCCAGGATGTCTGCACGATTTGGGCTGAAGCAACCGCTACGGCCGTGTACCTACAGAACCACCCACCTTCTCGCGCTGTGGAGATCACTCCATACGAGCTTTGGTGGGGACGTAAACCGAACGGTTCACATCTGAAAGTGTTTGGGTGCAGAGCATTTGTCTATGTGCCGAAGGAAAAGCGAAGCAAACTCCAGAATAAGTCGAAGGACATGACGTTCGTCGACTATTCCAGTAACCACAAGGCCTACAGATTCAGTGATATGGCCACTAACAAGCTGATCATCAGTCGAGACGTTCGTTTCTTTGAGGAGGAGTTGGTCCAACCCGGTACCGATGTTCCTAATCTGGAGGAGGAGTCGTACGAGGAAATTCTACATCCGTTACCTCCGCAAATCAAGAAGTTCCGGATCCAAACGATCCAGAGATTGACGATGGAAGGTCGGACGTAACCGACGCGTACTTCGATTCTTGCGACGAGTCTCTTCATGAAGATTTGGATGAAACCATCGCACGAAGTTCAGAGCGGTCCAACAAAGGTGTCGCCCCACAGCGGTACCATGAAGCAAGCAACATGGCAGCAGCTACTGAACGGAGGACGTATGAAGAAGCAGTAAGCGGACAAGAGAGCGAATAGTGGATAGCTGCGATGGAAGAAGAGATCCAGTCCCTTCAAGATAACTCGACATGGACAGTTGAGGTCCTTCCAGATGGACGAAAGGCGGTTGGCTGCAAATGGCTGTACAAGCGGAAATTGGACGAGCATGGAAACGTGACACGCTACAAGGCGAGACTGGTCGCACAAGGTTTTAGTCAGAAGTTCGGCACTGACTACGACCAGGTGTTCGCTCCGGTGGCAAAACAGGTCAAATTTCGTTCTTTGCTAACCATTGCCATCCGTCGTCAACTTGTAGTGAAACACGTCGATGTCAAGACGGGCTACCTGTATGGGACGCTTACCGAGGTCGTATACATGCGTCAACCGAAAGGATACGAGACTGGGAATCCCGCAGAAGTTTGCCATTTGAAGAAAAGCCTCTACGGTCTGAAGCAATCCGGTCGAATTTGGAACCAGGCGATTGACGATTGCTTCAAGAAGCTGGGATTTCTACAATCAACTGCTGGTGTGTGCCTACACGTAAGGACCAAGGGTGAGAAGCAAGCGTTCATCCTTCTGTACGTCGACGATATGCTCATCGTGTGTGAGACCGAGGTGGAATATGAAGCGATCCTGAAAGCATTATCGAGAAAGTTCAAAACCACTTCCCTTGGCGATGTGCGGCAGTACCTGGGCATACAGGTGGAGCGGGAAAATGATGGAAGGTTTCTGCTCAACCAACAGTGCTACATCCAGCGGCTGGCGTCGCGATTCGGACTCGAAACGGTAAAGCCATCACTTATCCCGATGGACCCCAGCTATCTTCAAGCAAAGGAGGAGCAGCAAGCTACCAAACAATACTTCATACTCCAGTTTGGTTGGTGGTTTGCTCTACATAGCGATCAATGCGAGGCAAGATGTAGTGATCAGCGTTTGGTTACTTGGGGGAAAGGTGAGTGCGCCGAATGCAGCAGATTGGACTGAAGCAAAGCGCACTATGCGGTATCTCCTAGCGACAAGGCATTTTCGATTGCATTTGGGCGGCATGCAGATTGGGCAGGCGATCATCGGGACCGTAAATCCAATAGCGGTTTTCTGATTATATTCGGTGGAGGTGTGATCAGTTGGGCGGCAAGGAAGCAAACCTGCGTTTATTGCTGCTGCAGAAGCATGTCAAGAACTTCTCTGGATTTGAAAGCTGATGAAGGATTTCCAAGAGCCGGAAACTCAATGCCTGCTACTCAAGGACAACCAGAGTGTCATCCGACAGCTGGAGTCGGAGAAACTGGAACGCCGGTCCGAACACGTTGACACCAAGTTCCTGTTCACCAAGGATCTTGTTCAACAAGGCATGCTGTCCGTGATCTACTGTCCAACGGAGCAACGGAGCATTGAACAAACTCAAGATATCAAAACATCGAACATCGGCTGGTGTGCTACCTGTGCAGTTCGAAGAGGAGTGTTGAGATAACGAACAATCACAGCAACCAGCTGAAACCTAAACCTATCAAAGTAGCCTGTAAAGAACGATTAATAAAAATTTATTTATTCCACTGTAACAATCCTTAGCGATCAGTTGTTTCTTTTTCACGCTCTGCTAACATCGATTGGCTCCAAGTGCTGCTGACGAAGCTGAACAACCAACCCTTCCATATTCGTTGTACTTGTCGCTTGGCAGGAAAGGAGGGTTTGTTGCGTTTCAAGCAGTACATGGACTGCCTCTTCAGCTCGTTATTAGGATCTACCACTGTAGAGTCACTGCTAGCACTTGATGGATCTTCCTTCACTTGCAGCAACTTTGTAATCAGTCCTTTCGTTTTGTGGAAAAGTTGTTCGTATTCCGAACGCACACTGGGCACCGAAGAAAGTTCCTCGTTCGGGGTTGCTTCTTCGATTTCAGCTTGAATCCTATCGAAAGATTCCTCCATCTCGCCTAATTTCCGAAACCGATCGTGAACTTCGAACGCCTGTGTTTCATATTCTGTCAGCTGCCTTGCACTCGCATGTACTCTCTTCAGCCTCTCGAAGGCCACGTTTCTCTTCCTGATCAGCTCCTCCACTGTCGCTGATTCACGCCGATCCGGCTCGCGAAGGACCAAATGTTAATCATTCGAAATGTTGCGGAAGTGGACAAGGCTCGACTACCGAAAACTGACGCGAAGTTCTACCACATTGTTTACAAAAGCCTTCAAAAAAGTAATCGAGAAATCTTTCCTAAACAGGTGAGCATTCCTTGATAGTTAACTACTCACATGTTTAGGAGAGATTTCTCGATTACTTTTTAGAATCAACAAACAGATTATTGATTCTACAACCGGTTTGTTGATTCAAAAATATTTTTCTTTGAATTAACCGAATATTATATTTGAATCAATACCAAAAATATATCAGGCCCTGAGCCAACAATATATCTATTTGAATTTAAAAATCATTTCTCTGCGTGTTCGCTTCTACGACTTTTATTAACCGTGAAGGTATTTTGAAACTATCATCATTTCGATGTTCTGGCTTTCGCCACGAGGGTCAACTTTTGAACACCAATTCAGTTGAGACCCTATGTTATACAACTCCTTGATTGCAGGATCTCATTCGAGTCCACCTTCCTCCCTTGAAAGACTTGTTGGAGGCGAACCAGCCCCAGGCTGAAAGCCTCCCTAATAAAGATAAATCAATCAATCAATCCCTTGAAAGACGTACGATTCACCTTCCGGATTCCGGTACTGGGTCTGGGATCTGCTTCTGGTGTTGTCACTAGAACCTTCAAAACACTATCGTGATCGAAATTCGATCAAAACTTCAAACTTGATATATATCAGTTAACCAGTAGATAAGATTTTAATCGCATCTTCCTCTTTGTTCCAGAAGCTACCGCGATGGCATCACCCATCAGAGCATCCTGTCGGCACTGTCCGCTTCGTACAACGGCATCGGCGAGCTGTCCTACTACGAGGATCTGGCCAAGAACATCGACGCCAACCTGGCCGAGGTGGACATGGAGAGCTTCCGTACGGAGGACATCCACTCGCTGCTGACGACGCTTCCGACGTTGTGCAACGAAAGTGCCGAACTGCGACGCAACCGGAACAACAATCGAGGGGATCTGATCCTCGATACGTGGACCGATGCGACGGGAATCGGTGGAGGTGGCGTCGGCGGCGGGAACACCACGGTGGCCGATTTGGAGAACTCAATCTGCAAGTCCAAGCTTCTGTTCTCGCCGGTCAAGGAATCGCACATCAGTGTCGATTCGCTGGATATGGATGGCTACCCGGATGAGGACGATATTATACTGACGTGCCAGGCGAATAAGAACAACTATACGATCGCGTTCGAGCAGAGCGCACTGTACTCGGATGAGAGTTTCTACGGTGAGTTGATGGATTTTAGTTTTCGTTGGGATGTTTTTTTTCACAAATGAAAATGATCTCGTTTCAAGATGGTCCGGAAAATTATGCAAAATACAAACATTTTAACATACTTAACAACTTGGATCACATCATCCGCAAGAAGGCTCAGGAAACGGCAATGTCGGTTTCGGAAGTGGGTTATACCACTTGGAGTAAGCTCAGGATAAATGGACCGGTCCAAAGGTAAATGGGTTGTTTTTTGGCCAAGAGTAGAGTTTCGAATTTAAATTGTCTCTTCCTAGAATTCCTCTGGTCCATGCAGATCAGTTCATCAATCACATCTCCCGGCATGCACCGACCTGCTTCGTTCGGAAGAGTCTCAGCATGCCGGATCTGAAGGGAAAGTGCGAGGGAGCGACGGTGGTGGTGACGGCAGCGGCGGATCATGCCGATGAAGTGGATGCCGGCGCAGCACGATCCAAGGATCATCAGCTGAATGTGTCGCAAGCGGCCAACAGTGCCACTTCGGGCGAGTCGTTTGGTAAGCAAATGCGCACGCTGCTACCGATGTATCCCGTGCCGACGGATTCCGGCAGCGAGAATTCTGCTCCCCTCAAGGATTCCAACATGGAGTGAGTAGATTTAGTGGCGATTGATGCAGGTAACTTAGTGCTAATATTTTTGTGGTTTTTACAGCAACAATAACGAGCAGGCTCAGCATCAACCGTCGTTCAATCTAGTGAAATTGTTCATCAAACAGAAGAGCAGTTCCACGGATACATGTATGGATGTTTCGTCCGGTTGCTGGCCAAGTGATTCCACCAACAGTGCTTCCGGTGGGGAGAATAACAATAGTAGTAACACCAATCTGGCCGTAGCCAGTTCAAAGGATCGCTGTCGGAAGAAGAGCATGAATGATTCGGGAAAATGCTCGAACCTAGGCCGGCATGATGAGGAGGAGTTTCAGTTCGATAGTCTGGATGCACAAATCAACAACAATAACAATGAGAATGGAACACCGGCGATGGCTACCAATGCGGACGAAAGGCTGGACCGCAGCAGAATGAATGACTTCAACTCGCCGGTCCACAAGCGGAATTACAAGGCATATAATCTGAACATCGCCAACAAGAACATGCCGGCCGTCAATCCGGTGGTGTACAATTTAATGAACAACAATAACAATAGCAGCGGAACCAGTGCCAGCGGCGGAAGCAATCTGAGCAGCAGCAGTATTAACAATAATAATAATAACACCAACAATAATAATAGCTTTAAGGATACCAACTCGGATGCTAGTCGTACGTCGGAGAATCTGACGCAAATCCTCAACAACAGCAACAGTAGCAGCAGCAACAACAACAACAACAACGGCAGTGCCGGGGCCAAGATGAAGGTACCGATCGAGATGATCACCAAGTCGATGCAGACGTCGTTTATTGGAACTAAAGAGAAGGTAAGCCCTGTTGATCAATCTCAAACCCTTTGAATAGTAATCTAATTTTCCAAACACAGGTCCGCGTAGTGCCACCTTCGTTCCTGGAGCGCCTGAACAAACTGGGTGACAAGCAGAAAGCCCCGGTCTTTGTCGTGTACCCAAACTACGTCCTGCCGGATCTGGGCTTCCTAAAATCTCAGAACGACGTGGTCATATCGCCCCTTTCGTTCAAGGACAACATTGCCCAGCGGACGCAACTGCGTAAATCCCGGCCCGTTTCGATGAACGACATCGAAAACATCAAAGCCAAGGAATACAAACATGTGCTGGATTGGAAGTCCTTAATCACTCTGTTGCCACAGGAATACCGGAAGTTGCTGCGCAACGTGCCGGAAGCGAATGTGTGCAGTCAGGTGGAAGAGAGCACGCCGCAGAAGCCAATGTTCTGCATGACTCCACCGTTGAGGCGAGGTCGGGGAGTTACCTGCGACTGCGTGAACATTCTGAACACGCAGACATACAATAGCTCCAGTTCTGGAGGTAGTTCTAGTCAGCCGCCCAGTTCCGGCTACCGTGGTTCGTCAACGATGTTGACCGATTCCGAGATGGATCTGTTGGGACCGAGCGGCAGCGGTGGGTTCAATAATAACCTGTACGTTTACCAGTATGACAGCCCAGCGGAAGTGTCGTCCGCGGAAAGACCACCATCGGGACGGGTCGCACCAAAGGGAATTCTGAGGAGAACTTCAGTACAGCGGCCACCAGCCAAGGCCAAAAGAAACAGTATGTTCGAAGAGAACCACAAAGTCAGTCAGAATCTTGAGAAACGACGCTCCCTGCAGGAACCGTGCTACAACTTCTCCGAGGAGAACCTTATCCTGGAGGACTCGATCAACGAGCTCCCGGACAGCGAACTAAGGAAGGTAAACAACTCTCCAAACATGTCCCAGCACCAAGCTCGTCTTCCCAACACCCTAAAGCTCTCGTCGGCCGACGATTATTATCGGTTGAACAAACTGAATGAAATGAATGATCTCGAACTGAACAAGGCTGTCAGCAGTAAGCTGAACCGTGCTCACCAACAGCAGAGCATCGAGGACGATCTGGAAGCCCGTATCCGCGCTGAGCATTTCCTTTCTAACGTCCCGAAATCAGAACTGAAACACTACGCCGAAATTGCTCACGTACTGGAGACGACCACAACCGATGGCGTCATCATTGCACAGTCGGAAGAAGTGTACGACCGTCAACGGTTACGGCACGAAGTCAGTCGAGCTCTGGCCCAGCGTAAGAACGTTTCCTTCAATCAACCGCCAGTCGGAGCGATCAATACGACTCCTGTGCGGCAGCAGCAACCGCAGCTGCTCCGACCAACGGAAATCAAGTTCTCTACTCCTCCCAACTCGCCAAACATGTCCGTCACGATGGCTCAGAAGCCACCGCAGAAGCCAACCCCTTCGGCGGTGCAGTCTCCGTCGAGTGCCGAACGGGAAAAGCACGATAAGATTCAAACAAATCGCTTCAAGCGGCTACAGATCCAGTGGGAACTGCTGAGCAAGGAGGGCCAACAGTTGAAGCAGGAGCTACAGCAAGCGCGCAGCGGTGACAATACTCCAACCGGGGGAGCGATGAAGTCCCGTATTCCACGACCTGTCAGTTATCCAACTACTCGGTAAGTGTGTGTGTGTGTGTGTGTTATCTTTCGGGGTAATCGGAAACCGGAATTGAAATTTTTTCGCATTCGCAGGGCCAATTCCGATCCGATGGTTAGCAAAACTTTGAAGTCGCCTAGCCGGATTGTACCGCCCAAGCGGTACAATGCCGGTTCGTTGGGTACGGTAGCAACGATTGGTCAGCAGGCGACGACGTTGCCCACTCCGGCTCCACGGACACCGAACAAGCTGCTGCATACGACTCCGAAGAAGGTCGCCACCGTCGGTACGCCCAGGTGAGTTAGAATTTTGAACAAGGTTTCAAATGTTCTCCGTTAACAGCTAGACTTGTTGGAGCGGGGGTTTCGTCGGATCGTTCCAGTTCCAGAGATAAACCAGCCTACGGCTGAAAGTCTCGATATCATGCTATTCTTTCCTTAAGGGTCCTGTGCACCACCAGCGGTGCAAAGGGATAACGTGAAACACTTGACCTGGGCCCAGGTCAGATTCCTATCGACTTGCTTAATTTCCTTATTGAGGCTCCGCCGCCATGAGCCCCTGGGTCTGCCTCTGCTGCGATGTCCTGCCGGATTCCAATCCAGCGCTTGCTTGCAAATTTCGTTTCCGCCCCGTCGAAGTGTGTGGCCGACCCACCTCCACTTTCGCTCTCAAATTTCTGTTGCTATCGGCTTCTGATGACATCGACGATGGAGCTCGGCATTCGAGATCCAGTTGTGCGGCCACCAGGCACGAATTATATACCGCAGGCATCGGTTGATGAAGACCTGCAGCTTTTGAGTGTTCTCCGCTGATGCACACCACGTTTCGCTGGCGTATAACAACACAGATTTCACGTTCGAGTTGAAAATTCTGATTTTGGTTCGTTGGATCTCCATACGTTTCGTAAACTCGCAAAGGCAGCCCTAGCCTTCTTGATTCGTGCACCTATGTCGCTCTTGGTCCCGCCGTCTGACGCTATTTGGCTGCCAAGATATTGGAAACTTTAGACCTTCTTCACTGCTTGCCCCGCTACCGTAAAGTTGGAAGGGTTGCCCGTGTTGATATCCAACGATTTGATCTTGTTGACGTTGATGGTGAGACCCGCCGCAGAGGAGCGTTTGGCTAGGTCATTGAGCTTACTCTGCATATCAGAGCGCCGTTGTGCTAGTAGAGCAACATCATCAGCCAAATTATGTGATGAACTAGCCTACGGCTAAAAATCACAAAAATAAAGAAAAAAAAAAAAAAAAAAAAAATCAGCCAAATCGAAGTCGTTGAGATGCTCCATGGTGATAGGTACACGGTCAATTGCACCTACCATAATCTCGTCGATTACGATGAGAAACAGTAGCGGTGATAGTATACATCCTTGTCTCACACCAGCGACTACCCGGATAGGGTCGGACAAGACTCCGTTATGCAGAACTCTGCACGTGAAAGCCTCATACTGCGCTTCGATGAGGTTGACGATTTTATCCGGGACTCCCTTGCGTCTCAGGGCGCCCCACAGATTCTCGTGATTGAGACGGTCGAAAGCTTTTTCGTAGTCAATGAATACCAAATAAAGGGACTCTTGGAATTCATTGACCTGCTCCAGGATGATGCGGAGCGTGACAATATGGTCCACACAAGATCTTCCGGCACGGAATCCTGCCTGCTGCCGTCGGAGAGTCGCGTCGATCTTCTCCTGTATCCGATTCAGGATAACTTTGCACAGAACTTTGAGAACAATACACAGTAACATGATGCCTCGCCAATTGTCGCACACAGTCAGATCCCCCTTCTTTGGGACCTTCACTAAGATGCCCTGCATCCAGTCGGCCGGAAAAGTCGCGGGGTCCCAGATATTACAGAATAGTTGATGCAACATTTGTGCGGATAGCATGGGGTCAGCTTTGAGCATCTCTGCTGATATGCGATCGACCCCTGGAGCCTTGTTGGGTATCATGCTTCGGATAGCTGCTTCAATCTCCTGCAGTGATGGGGCCTCGGGATGCCGAGATGTTGATGGCTGGTTGGCCGTCGAAACTTGGAGAAGTTGTTCGAAGTGCTCAAACCAGCGTTTCATCTGGTCAGTGGGGTCGGTAAGCAATTGTCCAGTCGTGTCCTTCACTGGCATCCTCGGGTTCATCCTTGCTCCACTCAGGCGTCGTGAGATATCGTAGAGGAGGCGTATATCGCCAGTGTTTGCGGCTTTCTCCCCTTCGTCGCCCAGGGAGTTCACCCACGCTCGCTTGTCCCGTCTGCAAGAGCGCTTGACTTCCTTCTCTAGAGCCGAGTACCGTTGACGGGCATCGTTCTTGGCTCCTCTGGTTCTCGCCCGCTCTATCGCGGCTTTTGCTTCTCTACGCTCCTCAATCTTCCGCCAGGTTTCATCTGTGATCCACTCTTTTCTCTGGGTGCGCAGCTCACCCAAGTTGTTCTCGCTTGTTTCTATAAAGGCATTCTTGATAGCCGTCCCTTGTTCTTCTACGCTGCTACCTTCTGGAACGTCCGCAGCTCGAGTCTCAAGTTCTTCAGCAAAAGACCTTTTTACCGCTGGATCTCCAAGTCGGCGTGTTTTGAACCGCCGCCCGAGTCTCTCCTCCCGTCGCTGGATCCGCGCCATGCGTAGGCGGATTTCACCGATTAGAAGGTGATGGTCAGACGCGATGTCGGCGCTGCGTTTATTCCGGACATCAAGAAGACTCCGTCTTCATTTTCGGCTGATGCAGATGTGGTCGATCTGATTTTCGGTATGTCCATCACGGGAAACCCACGTGACTTTGTGCACTGGCCGATGGGGGAAGAGCGAGCCTTCGATCACCATGTCGTTATTGCCACAAAATTCTGCAAACAGCTCACCGTTCTCGCTCATTTCGCCGAGACCATGGCGTCCCATGACACGCTAATAGTCCGTGTTGTCAGAGCCGATCTTTGCATTGAAGTCGCCAGTGTAGATCTTGATGTCACCCTTTGGAACCTTATCCACGACGGCATTCAGTTGACAGTAAAAATTCTCCTTGTCCTGTAGCTCGGCAGCATCGGTTGGCGCATAACATTGGATTATGGTAAGGTTACGAACCCGTGTTCTAAATCTGGCAACGATTATCCTCTCATTAACAGGCTTCCACTTGATGAGCGCAGCACTTGCCTGGACGCTAAGTAGGAGACCAACTCCACGATGGTGGGGAGCGTTTTCACCTCGAATACCAGAGTATAGTAGTACCTGTCCCGACGGCAGTTTATGTTCTCCAAAGTTTGGTCAACGAACTTCACTCAGTCCCAGGATTCCTAGTTTCATGCGTCGCACCTTGTTGGCGAGTTGTGCCAGTTTACCCTGCTGGGCTAACGTCAATACATTCCATGATCCAATTCGTGTCCGTTGTTTTGCGCTAAAAGTCGTTGCCGTTATATCAGTTCGAAGTCTTTCTCTGTTGGTTTCTGTAACAATCGTAAAGGTTTCAGAGACAGTAGGTGGTTGGCCTAAGGTCTCCTATCCGCCGTGATGGGGCTGCCATCTTAGGTGTAGCTTCCGGGGAAAAGCATTTCTTATGCAGCCGCTGGATGCCAGTCAGACGCTGTTTGAGCCGCACCTCCATGGTGAACAGACGCTCGGGTTGGCGAAGCATTTCCTCTATCGCCGTGCTATGGTTACCGCGCCAGTGTTCGCGTCGCACCTCCTCACTCTGCTATTGTCGGATTGACAACATTGCCCAGGCTACGCCAACCAGCTGTGTCCATGTTTCAGCTGGCAGTCTTTTGTGATCATATGACTCGTGGAGGCGTGAGGACCGGAGCTAGGTATATCGCTCCTTCCAGATTGTCACTCACCATTTTGTAGCCCAATATCATGCTATGGTCCACACATTTGTGAAGATCTCATTGGCCGTGCAGGGAGGTGGAGACATTTTCCAACCCAAAAAGCCACCTCCAGCATGGCCTTACTTTGTAGCTGCGCCTTTATCGACTGAGGGAGGCCCCTATTGCTTTATATTAATTCTAGACAAATTCTTTGTAACAATTCTTTTTTTTCCATCCTATTAAATTCTCTTTCCAGACCAGCAACACGCACACGGTGAAGAGACTGAATCCTGATCTAAATCTTGAACAGTTATTTATAACTTCATTTTTTTTTCGTTTTTCTCCCACACTTTTGCATTTCTATCTATTTCTCTATCTCTTTCTCTGTGTATCCCTGTCTTTCTCTCCAATTTCTGCTTTTTGTGTTCGTCTATCTTTCATCCGAATTTCCCGTTAAATTCCTCCGAACCATTACTACTGCACACCATCACTTCCAACCGACAAACAACACAACGCAGGATACCAGTAGTAGGTTCTGGTCAAAGTCAAGGTAAACCCACGTCGTCTATAGCAGCGACGCCGACGGCGACGACGACGTCAAAGAAAGAACCAATCAACCACGCTAGTCCCAAAAAGGCGACCAGCACCATCACGCGGAAACCGGTCAGTAGTAGCGGTAGCGGTAGTGGTAGTGGTAGTAGCAATAGTGGCAAACCAAGTAAGGGAGCCCTCAAAGTCTGAAGCTTGAAACTAAGTAAGTAGCACCCAATTTACTTACTCCCGATTTTTCCCCCGAAAGGTGAGTCCTCTTTGCGTGTGCAGCAGCAGCAGGAAGGGTCTGTGTACAGTATAGGTTTAGGTTGAAGCAAAAAAGTGAATAGAAATATGTTAATAGGTTTAAGGATGTAGTTGAACCCCCCCTCCTCCATTTCTTATATCCTCTGTGGAAGCCGGGAGAAGATGTGTGAAAAAGTGTATACAAAGCAAAAGTAACTTTTTTGTATAAAATTAGTTGAAAATATCGAACAGAAGATGCAAGGAAATAAATCGTACTGAAAGAGTAGGCGAGGCGAAACACTGAACAAAACAAACAACTGAAATGTAAATGTATTTTCGGATTGATGTGTGTATGTTTAAACAGAAAAAAAGATGTGAATATTTTTGGGTTGATATTCTCGCTTACGTTTGCTATTTATCGCCCTTTTCGCTAGCAGTAGTTGCTTAAATTATACTTTTTTTTTATAAACTAAAATAATCGCTGATGGAAAATAATCAACCCGTTCCGTTGGAAAATGGGGCGTGTAGAGCGTATTACAACATACTGAATAAGGAAAAAACTGTGCATATACTCTTATATATTGCATAAACAAGCATACATATTCTCTTATATATATATAAAAAGCATTGCTAGGGCAAAAAGTTGTTAAAACAGTAAAAACAAGCTTCAAAGTACCACCAAGGCAGACATAATATGTAAATTGGTGTAGGCAAAAAAGCGTATTATATATTAACATCAAATAACCTAGAGAGGCAGAGAAAGAGAGAGAAAGAGAGAGAGAGAGAGGAGGACAGAGAGTATCCAACACACGCAAAAACACAGCTAAGTCATTAGGTTTAAGGCAAAAATGTGGCCACCGTGTACGGAAATGCTAGGCAAGTGGGGGAAGTTAGGGCAAAGGGAAAGACGAGTGAGACGTTTAGTGATTTGATGGAAGAGGAAAAAAAATATGAATGAGTGTCTAATTTTACAATTTTGTGTTGTTTGTAATTTCTTCAATTTTTAAGAATTTGTTTTTTAGTTTTCGAACAATTGGAACGAACCGACTGGAATTGCCATTCTGAAATCAATCACTGGCTCGGTGACAACACCACTCGCGTTTATGTGATTGGTGTAATTGGGGCTCTGAAAATACGATCCGAGTGCAAGCTATCAAGAAGACTGGCTAATCTGCCCGAATGCGATTGAGCATCTTCGCTATCAAGTTTCTTCCCCTGAAAACGAAACTAACTCAGAGAGTGAGTCACTTTTACTCATTCGTATGGAGAAATTTTAAAAAGCGTAGAGGTCACTCAGAGCACGCTTTTGGAAAAGTGACTCACTCGCTGAGTAAGATTCGCTTTCAGTGTCGATACTTCTAGCTTTGAACGGTAGATAGCGAGATTGTGTCTATCCCTTAAAGCTTGTATACGTAAAAGTGAAAGTGGGGCCAGTCTTCTTGACGTGTTGCCTTCGGTACGATCGAACTGTTACCCTGTAAAAGTAACCAAATTTGTTTTGAAAAATTATCATTTACACGCTGGCTTCGGAACAAACGGATTTACGTTTGAAGTTAACAAACGTTGGATACAGTTTCAATTTGTACCTCTAGAGGCTTGTTGGTTAGGAAGAATTTCGGGTCACAAGAAATTTGCAAGGCCAAAATGATCGGAGCAATGAAGGCTTCCATCGAGTTGACACTTTTGTGGAACTACTGTGTAGAAAACCTTTCAAACAGCGCTTTCTGCGTAAGTGCTAATCCAGAAAACGACGAGAGTACTGTTGATTGACACCCAGTAAAATTTGTAATTATTCTTTGGAAAGCCATTTCGATGGCCTTGTTGGCGATATTTCGTGGACAGAGGGTGGTAAGCAACCTCCTGTTGGATGATCCGCAAGTGACGATTTTTTGTGTGTTGCTGGAAGGGGATTGTCTACTACCCATGGACAGATGCCTCACCCTAACCTCAATCTACCTGTGAATCAACTCTCAAAATATTACTAGCAACGGTGCATTTTGCAATCGATTTGAATGCAATTGTTGCTAGATATCACGTTTTTGAAGTTGATGCACAGGTAAAAAGTGAGGTTATGAAACGCTACTGCCCGTCGAATGTGCGAGGAAGACTTTGCTTACTAATTGCCATCCAACTCGTGTTTCGCCTTTCGTTCAGTAGGTTATGCAGGGTGCGAATAGAAGAGATTTTTTCTTTATTTTAGTGAATCTTAGTCATTGGCTAGTTCTTCACTTTGCAGGAAAAATATCAGAGGTATTGGAATTTTGGAAGTTGGAATTTACAGAGTTTTGGTTGGACGACATTTAACATTTGGGAAACACAGAAGAACAAACTCGACCGTTGATATTGAGTTAACTTATTGACTAATCTGAACAAGGCAGAGCTCCACCGTGGAAGGTGGAGGAAGAAATCAACCATTGAAAAACAATCCAGCGTGCTTCAGGAAGGAGATCAGGGCAGCCAGGATCAAAGGTTTGTCGCCCAGTATGTCGCCGATATTCCCCGAAAGGCCGTAGTGTTGCCACACGAGCTCGTACTTCGGACACACGCAGAGGATGTGCTCGACGGTGGCTGGAATATTACAGACGACGCAGGTCTTGCGGAAAACTCCTCCGCCGAAATCGTGTGAGAGCCGAGTGTGACCTGTGCGAAGCCTGGAGATGACTCGTTGCTCCATGGACGCGTGCTCTCCTTGATTTTCCTTAGAAGCGGTCCTTGGTTTGCCATTCTTCTTGCCACCTAGCCTGCATGGAAGTTTCGACCCATCGCTTGATGTCCGGAAAGGGAACTTCATCGGTGTACCTGGCACCAGATGGTCCCGCCCCGGCCATTGATGCCTCAATGCCCGGAACCCAAGCGAATGCTGTGTTGGGGGGGACATGTCTTATGATCCCCTGAATCTACGGATGAGTAAGCATGTTGGACCGGGGAGCAGAAATTACGCTGTGTGAATCAGTGAGGATTAGGACTGGTCGATCGGATGGTGTGATTGCTGCTTCGAAAATCGCCGCTGCCTTTGCAGAAAAAAAAACAGAGCATTGTGGCGGTAGGCTCATGCTCGTAGGCGAGATCTTTCCAGCAATGCCTATTCCAACTCCGTTGTGCGATTTGGACCCGTCCGTAAAACCATCTCCGCGACGGATTGTCTGAGCGCCGCCGAGTTGTCTCCTGCCCTAAACTGGCCCTTAATTCGGTTTTCGATGTTTAATGGTCTCGAATGCCAACTTTTTCCTCCCAGCCAGTGGCTCTTGGCCATTGGGGGGAGGTCAGTATTGGCCCATTCATTACCCGATGTTTTTGTCAAGTAGGCAGCCGCTTTCATGGCGACTGCGGTGTCGATTCGAAACCGGAAAGGAAGTACCCCGACTTCAGCGCAGCCTGTGTCGACCGGCGTCGAGGGTAAGAGACCTGAAACTACTCGGATGTAGCCGTTGTAAACCGGTGCAAGGACTTGCAACAGTTTGTCATTGACGATTGCGGTGAGCTCCAGACCGTAGAAGAGTAGACGGCTGTCAATAACTGCCTTGGCTACTCGCTTGTTAGTGCGGTGCGGCATGGCGATTGTTTTGATAAGGTTTATGCGGGTCTTGCAACTCTCCTTAACGCTCTGGAAGTGTTGCGTGAAGGTTAAGTGTCGATCAACTAGAACGCCCAAGATGCGAATAGAAGAGAGAATCAAACTCGATCGAATTGTTCCTGTGCATTCGAAGCTCGTGAGGGTGTTCCGAGTAACGATGCTCCAAATACCAAGCCATGGCCATTGGGAAGTTTATTATCAAAAGGATCTAAGAGTTTTGAATATTCCTTAAATTAATGGACGTTCAGCGAGCCTACCTGGACTCGTTTTTGAACTTCTTCAGAGTACCCTGAATTTCCACGTGGCGTGGATGTGAGAGATTCCCTGATGCTCAGTGAGCTTCCCAAGTAACTAACAAGCTCGCTGGTGGCTCTTTTTGTCATATTAGGCTGATAAACGACTAATTTACAGTTCTCATATAGGAAAAAGGGCGATTAGCGGGCATTAAGAAGATCACTTGGGTTCTCTTACGTTTTCAAAACTTATCTGAGGTCCGCTGAACATCTCTGAAGTACACTCAATATCACGGAGATTCCCTGAAATTTCTTTGAAGCTCTTCGAATTTTCTCAGGATTTCTGAAATCATTTGAATTGATTAGAAGGTATCTGGAGTTTTTATCAAGTGCTCTGAGCTTCTCGGAGATTTCCTTGGCCTTCACTGAACAGAGTATTTCAGGCAGGGATGCCTCTTCTCCACACTTATGGGGCATCCTTCAGGACGAGGGCTTGTTTCATAGCTAATTATATGATCTTGTTTGCTGGAAGGAGATTCTTCTTCTGTTCCCGGTGGGTTTCGCGTGGACGTTTCTGCTTACGGGTCCACCCCTCCGTTTTTGGACCTTCATACAGCGCTAAGCTGAATATGATTTGTCGGTGGGACTTGGTCAAGCTATTCTGATTGGATTACTGATTGATTGTTGTTTATTAATTTATTTGATAAGGTTCAAACGAATTAACTTTACAGAGCCGAGGATTCTTGGTCACTATAAAAAACATCTTAAAACTATAGTCAAAAGGCACAACACAATAAACACTTTATCTTCCGCTATCCAAAAAGCCTCCTCCATCAGAACTGGAGCCGCTTCTAGTGGTTTCATTGTATGGCAGTGACGCCATCGTGGGGCAGAGCGCTTCCATTGCAGCAATAGACGCAAAACGTGGTCAGCACTCACACACTCATCACGAAACGGTTGCTTTCTAAAGTCGACGGCGCACCGACCGAAAGAACTGCTCATGAAGAAAAATGAAGAGGACCATACAATAGTTACTGCCGAGTAAACAGACAATCGCGTGACACTGATTACTGATTGATAGTCTCAATCATCATCAATCAAATCAACGAAATCGACGAAATCGATCTTACCATGTTCTTAGTGTTTAATATTTCATACTCATAAAACTATGACTTAAGGTCTTTACATAAATTCAGGGATGTCAAGAGAATTTTGTAGCAATCAAGGGCAATCCAAGAGAACATCATTTGATTCCATAGAAGTGGACTTCGTGGAAATTCTGGAAACTTCGTATTAGTTCAGGAATGGTTGTAGAACTTTAAGGAATCTATCATAGATGTTCATGAAAACTTTCTAAAAGTGCAGTAAATTTGATATGAGTTCAGTTACCTTTGCAAAGGCTCAACTTAGAAGAACTTCAGTTCAAAGAATTCAATTTGAGGAACGTCGTTGAAGTTCAGGGACAGAGCCGTACTCAGGATTTTTGCAGAGGTAGAGAACTCTTAGTTGGGTGCTCCTCTCCCTAATGAGGTGAAAATAGTCTGCTCATGTGAGGTGACAATCACCTCACATGAAGTGACTATTACCACCTCATTAGCGACAGCGAGTTACCTCACCTCAGTCGCGGCGCAGAATAGGCCTCCCTGTCGGAAGTTCTCCGAACTTCAAAGATTATCAGGTAGCTGCTGAAAAAAGAAAAAAAAACTGTGAGCTTGGAGAGATTCAGTGGACTTCGCAGATCTTAGGCAGAAGCTCTATTAACTATCAGAGATTTTTAAAACTTCAGAGCTGTTGAAACTTGTCAGTGATCAGTCATTATGAGGGCCATTTTTGGACGCTTCATGGAATCACCTTAAACTTATCCGGGTTTCGCTGAGGCTACCATTGACGTAATTGAAGAGTATTTTTGAGGTACCTCAATCTTCCTGAAGTTCGCTAGATTGCAGTGAAGTTTTATGAGCTCTTTGAATTTCGTTGAATTTTTTTGCCAATTGCTGATCTTGTCTAAAGT